ACCCTAGCTATATAACAATAATCCGTTAATTACCTGAGAGGATCTTGAATGTGCATTAAAACAAATACTGCCCAGTGCCACAGACCCAATGCTTCCAGTTGTGCAGCATAGCTTGTATTCAAGTAACTGGCATAATACTCCGACAAATGATTGTAACCGACAGAACGAAGAATCTGATAAAGATGCCAGCTGAAAAATAAATGTATACATTATACAATATGTATATTATATCTGTTTACTTTATGTCAACATGTAAAATTAGTTACGGCTGAAATTAAAAACACAACAATTAAGCTATTATGCTTCGGTTAGCAGTAGAGACGGGTAGCAGTAGAGAGTTTGAGCAAGAGAACGAATTACGAAAACGAAGATGTACTCGACAATTTTTGCATGTCTGCGCATTATCTTACGCATGCCGAGTTTGGCCGCAGATGGAGACGGATTACGGATTCATGTCTACCTGTTTTATGAATTCTGCTTTCGTTCAGAACGAATATTTTGGCAAAATTCGCCGTGAACTTCGTCCTGAACAAAAAACGAAGAAAAAAAGAACGAAGATACAGATTAACAGAAGAAGGAAGATATAGATTCATAAGAACGAAGAAGAACGAAGATATAGATTCATAACAAAAAATATATAGATTCATAAGAAAGGAGAAGAACGAAGATATAGATTTTTCGTTTTCAGAAGAACGAAGATATACTGAGATTCATATCTCGCTGTTTTTGTCTGGGTCAGGGTAACGATTAGGGTCAGTATTGACAAACAGCGAGACATGAATCTTTTACAATTCACATATAGATTCACATGAATCGATAACGGGAAGACACGCTAAGCAAAGAGTGGCAAAACTGTCTTGCTCAAGCTCAACCAGTACTGTTTCATAACTACCAATGAAAATTTTCATACTCAGAACACGAATCGTGCACGACAAATCGCAGGGTGTAAACGTACCTTAAAATAAAAACAAACTACAACCAAACGCCATTGGGAATGGTGCTTACCTGAGGCTAACATCAAGTTGGTATCTGGTATACGATGCTGGTGCTAATGTATTCTCCAGTCTGTGAGATCGTTTACAAAACAGTTTTATAAGATGATAACAAGTATCTCGACATGGTTTTTGTTCGGTTTCTTCTTCTGCGTCTCTTTCGGGCCAAATCGCTTGAGTGCCCGCAAGGTATGACGGACTGGGTTCAGCGGCGTAGATACCCGTACTAGTTCTACCTTTAAAAGAGTTCTCATATGACGTCATAGCATCAGGAACGAGGCCGCTGGAGGAACGTTGATACCACAAATGCAAGGCAAATGCTCTTTTCCAATCCAAGTCTTGACAAACCTTGATACTACGCCAAGACATTTCTCCTGCCAGCAGCGCGTATATCTTTAATCTGTCTGCTGTGATAAACTTGTCAACCTGCCATAGAAACAAATATTGAAATATTTTAAGTGAACCGATATGTCAAAAGTCGAGCATTGTTTGTGCATCACTCTCAAACTTACCAGCAGACAGTTCAGAAAACAACCATCGACTCAGACAACGCGTGTTGGAAAATAATTTCCTTTCCAGAAAGTACAAAATTTCCCGTTTTTGTTTGAAAGAAGATGCAGTTTTCCGGATATTATATTTTACAAAACAAACATTTGCATGTATGCTAACCGAGACCTACTCAATGTTACTGTCACTACGGCCTTGCTTCAAACTTGATTATAGAGTGCATAACCAAGGGAATGGACTGGGTATGCGCATGCGTAGGTCTGAAAGGTTTCCAGGCAAACTGTTTACAAAATCCCCTGTAAAGTCAGCCTCTTTTTAACAGAGTGATTACTATTCTGACAGAGTTAACCTTACTGCCAAGACGAGTTTAAAACTTGCCATATAAACACTTGAATTTGAATGTAATTTTGCCTCTCGTACGGTAGCTTGGGTCAGTTGGGTGTCTCTAGTGCACGCGGAGATCATATAAACAGCCCCTTATATTGGGACGTAATCTATCCAGCTGCAAAGGCAGTCCGTATAGCGGCCGCTAGCCGTAGTGTTCAAAAGCCCCAACTACAACAAACTGCATATACAGTACCTTGTGCTCTAACCAATCATCAAGCTGCTTCAACAACCACTGTCTTACAATCATGTTTCCTGATGATTGTGCTAACAATAACGACAATCTCGAATCACCATTAGATTGCGCAACCTGACATGCAGCGTTCATCTGTTTTCCAGTAAGGAGAGAGAATACGATACGGAGATGATCGTTGTCCTGTATTTCAAATAAAAAGAAAATAACCGTAGTTTTTAAAATAGTAAACTATATGTACATTTACATATTGCAATTTAGGCCTCGCTTCAGGTAGGTTAGTGAGGAAAATAGCACTTTGCGGATGTATGGCAAATCGCAATAGGTACACCTACTTTTACACATGGTAATTTACACATAGATGATTCAACATAATTTTCATAAAGAACGTAAGATGCTGAAATCAGTAGAAATTGTTTGAATGTTATACGGAAATTATCGTTGTGGTGGTCGAGAACTTGTGATAGTAGCGAGCTTGTGGGGGTCGAGAACTTGTGATGGTCGAGAACTTGTGATGGTCGAGAACTTGTGATGGTCGAGAGCTTGTGGTGGTCAGGAGTTTGTGGTGGTCAAGAGCTTGTGGTGGTCGATAGCTTGTGGTGGTCAAGAGCTTGTGGTGGTCAAGAGCTTGTGGTGGTCAGGAGCTTGTGACGGTCGGGAACTTGTGATGGTCGGGAACTTGTGATGGTCGAAAGCTTGTGATGGTCGAGATCGAGAGCTTGTGATGGTCGAGAGCTTGAGATGGTCAGGAGCTTGAGATGGTCAGGAGCTTGTGATGGTCAGGAGCTTGTGATGGTCGAGAACTTGTGATGATCACGAGCTTGTGGTGGTCGAGAACTTGTGATGGTCGAGAGCTTGTGATGGTCGAGAGCTTGTGATGGTCGAGAGCTTGTGGTGGTCGAGAACTTGTGATGGCCGAGAGCTTGTGATGATCGGGAACTTGCGATGGTCAAGAGCTTGTGGTGGTCGAGAACTTGTGATGGTCGAGAGCTTCTGATGATCGGGAACTTGTGGTGGTCGAGAGCTTGTGATGGTCAAGAGCTTGTGGTGGTCGGGAACTTGTGATGGTCGAGAGCTTGTGATGATTGGAAACTTGTGATGGTCGAGAGTTTGTGGTGGTGAGGAGCTTGTGATGGTCGAGAGCTTGTGGTGGTCGAGAGCTTGAGATGAGTACGACGGTTTATTTCAATTTTTATTAGTTGTGGAATATATTTTTAATAATAATGAGTAAATTATAATCATAATAAAACAGAGAGAAGATAGTGGGAAGGAATTTGGGCACAAAATGGCAAGTAAGCTTATATCAATCTTAAGTGGCATTAAGTTCCTATACCAACCTTAGTTTTAATATTTTCAATTTCTTCATTTATAACACTCCATGATGTTTTCGCTAACCAGTTGGAGAGCGCTTCCTTCCTTGCAAGTGCTTCATCGTAATCATCCATCGACATGTCTTCGCTATCTATATAGAGAGCGTTTTATACTGAGATTTCATCAATTTATGCAATAACTACTTTACATGAAATCGAGATACGTATTGTGATTACTGATTATTTACGGCGTCTACATTTTTATAATTCCAGACGAAATAATGATAAATAAAAGTATTTAAAAAGTAAAAATATAAGTATTACACAATTCTTTACTTTAATAACATGCACTAGTGTTATCATCGTATATGCAAGTAATGCAACAAAATAACATCGAGAAGCTATAGGCTGTTAGCACGATAAGTAAAAATCATATAAACATGAGATTGTTTTGCTCGTACTTTGCTCGCCAGCATAAAAATAATGTTTCGACACAGAAGAAAACACTTTGAAGTTTTTTCTCATAAAATAGAGTCTCTCTCTCCAGTTTTCATGTGGGGTGGTCTTTCTGTCAAAGGATTTGGTTTAATAACATGCAGAGAGTTTAAGGAAGCGACGGACGTCAGACATATACATGATATAGCCACAGATTAAACAAAATGTTTGTTTGATATAACATGCAAATGATATGGCTACCCTAGGTGTAGAGGTTTTCTGCTGTCAACTGAGTTTTAAGACATGGGGGGAGCCCGGTTAAGCTACTATGCGCCTGAGTGCAGGCTACAGATTCAGCAAAACAGGAAACCCCCTGATCCAGCGTAGAGTTAGTCACCATCTATAATAACTGCCCGATTGCCTTACAGGCGTTTGTGAATAAAAAAGTCACTAGCTTCAGCTCTCTGATAATAATTCTTAATTCTTAAAGGCCCATCTACAGATACGACTAGTCGTATACGATTCTTATCCTGGCGTATGAAAACGATTGCTGACGCCACTATTCCGTTCATCAGTTTATGGCGAAGTTTGAAATGTTACATCTTTACACGCATTTATTCGAATACATGCGCCAGGATAAGAATCGTATACGACTAGTCGTATCGTGTAGATATAGGCCTTAATAATATTCTTCTAGATCATTTTGAATGCTGATCGGCACATCATGATACAAAACCTAGGATAACCAGGTTAGTTTTAAGTCACATCATATTGTTCCCTTTAACGTTTTGGTATATCTTTTAAAATGAGGTCAAAGCTACCTACCAATAACACTCAAACTAAAAGATACAAACAACAAAGTCATGTTCTAACCTGTATCCATAGAGTCTTTCGATAACATTGATAAATTACCCCACAGTGCAACGGTTAAGTCCATGACTGAAGAAAATATGTCGGCTGACTCTTTAAATGTACCAGAACCTGCAAAAAATTGCAAAATATTAAATCCATAGTAAATAGATACACAACCGTTAAACGGCCACGGAAATTTACTATCTTCATTATTCTTTATCCATAATAGGTTTGATAAGCACGGTTTGCATGTGAATAAGATGTCCCTGCAAAATGACAGTTATTCAGTCTTTTGAAAGAACTCTCATTTCGTATTTACTGAAAATATTAGTCAGTAGATGATTCTGGAACCATTCTCATGCCTCTATCTTCCTGGAAATTCTGTCAACTCCTGATCTAGATTGGAGGTATACCAACATGTTCAATATAACAATAATCTCATCCGATCTCAATGAAAGCAATCGGATGACAGTTTACGATTAGTACTATTTTAGCCTGTTCGTAGAAACCACGTTATGATGGGCCTGGTTTAATAGCAAATACCTCAACCAGCTTATGCATGTACTAGTTAAAATATGAGCAGCTGCTCTTTTTAGGCATTTACAATGCTTGTAAAATGAATTTATTTGTTTACTTTATTAGTATTCACTGCCCATGGGGACAATCTAACGATTCATTAACATGTATTTAAAATATGAATTAGTATTGGTAACTTTCATAAACATCCCTGCTTCTGAATTAGTATTCATAACTTTCATAAACATCCCTCTAACAAGAATTACTGATCTTTAATGCGGTTTACAAGTGTGCACATGTGACCTAAATACCGCATCGTGATTTGTTTGTTGCCTTATTAATTATTCATGAATTTTACAAATTAATATAAACGCTCTTATTATAGTAATTATAGTAATTAGTAACATATATTACCTAACATTTCCTTGCTTTTGGCACCAGCTTCTGCATACTGATGAAGTGCTGTTACACCTTCAGCAGGAATGAAATATGGCGAGCTGTCATCTTCATCACGACTGATGTTAGCAAGACAAATCTCAAGTCTTTCAATCAACTGAGCCTAGATATATGATTCGAGTATTACTTAGTGGCGAACACTAAGGAAGGTGGGGGAGGGGGTGTAGCCTCCAATGTAAGTAAAGCTGCGATTAACAAATCATGACAAAATGTAAAATTATTTAGAATTCCACCCATCCAACAGGATATAATCAACAGTTGTCCCATACCTGGCTTACATCGGAATTCCATTTCATTGTTGGGCTAACGTTAACTCTCCCACAACTGACCGCAAACGAACTGGACGGTATGTTATTCACCGATCTTGCAATTAATGGACTGCCTCGCACTATTTCATGTCCTAAACGCTGATCTGCTGAGTTTGGTGACGCGCTCACTATTCTCGAAGAGTACACCAATGTCCAGGCTGGTCCCCATCCCACCCGAAATGATCGTCCCATTGTTAGACCTGTGTCTGCGATAAGATGATGCTTGCCAGCGGTGACAGATCGAGAAAGAGGAACAAGTGCCGGTTGGGTCCTAATGCCTGCCGCCTTCAAGGCTGTCTCTGATGGACTGCCAACAACACTTGGCAGCAAAATGGGTTGAGGAAGACTGTACCATTGTGGTTTGTTGCGATAATTTTCGTACTCTAGAAACGAAAAGACAGGTAATTATAGGAAATCAATAAACCTTTCCTAAAAATTACAATCATGTCGATACAGGTTGCCAATTGCCTAGACAAACTCGGCATTGCCTATACAAATACCTAGACAGTGTTTGTATAGGCAACTTCGTAAAGTTTAGAGATAATAAAATAATCAAACCTATTCTTCTTTCTTTCGCAGTTCTTGTATCATCTCGCGATGGCGGCTCAGGATAGATAGTCATTGATTTGGTTTTTATTGGAGAGTAAATAGGACGCTCATGTATGGACTTGCCACCAAATTCATCAAAACCGGTGGAATTCAAGACAGATTTATTTCCCAGGCGAAACTCTCTTGGTCTCATATCATTGTTGTTGATATACTGCTGAGGTTCTTCACTCTGTCCAAAAAATGACGCTTTCATGACTTGCATATGATGAGATTTCACTCCCATCGCGCTTGCTAGATGATGTGATGCAGGAGATGTATGGTTCTCTTCTTCTTCCAGTGGTTCTTGGAAATCTGAAGAAAATTACATTTGAGTCAACTAACATACAACTATACAAAGATCCTAACGTATATATACACACTGAGGGCATATCTGCATGCTATTCCACCGTCCCACACCACTTATTTAAGAACCGTTTCAGTTATACTTAAGCGATCCTATAAGTATCCTTAATAGTGTTGTTCTAGTACTAATACCCCGATTTTAGTCATGCCAAAATAATTTTGTCCACTAAAACTAAATGAGAAATACACTCAAAACACCATGCTAAATCAATCTTTAGCTATGTTTCTAGAAGCCATGCATATTACATGACATGACATGACATGACATCACATCACATCACATTATTCAGCTCACTGGGGATTGGGGCTTTTAAGTGACCGATTACATCAAGTATTACGCTAACTTATGTTACTTACTTAGCCTAGACTACTTATTTTTACAACAATTGTGATTACTTTCTTAACTGCGTTTATCCTAACCCACCTTGTCAACTTTCTCTGTGGGAGGAAACCGCGGAGCGCCCGGAGAAAACCCACGATTTTCGGGAGAGCTTCTCACATGAGTCAGTAGCGAGAATCGAACCCTCGATCTCATGAAAGGTGCTCTGAAGACTGCGCCACCGAAGCCCCCATATGGCATGCCGTTTTTTCTCTAATGCCACTTTTTGTACTTTAATTGCACGGTACTCATGGAAAGCGCAAGTCTATTTGAGTTTGTAAATATTTACAATGTTATTGATTTTAGTGATATTTTATCTTAGTTAACTTTATCGTATTTAAACTTATAAATATATACATATAATACCTGGAAAAGTTTCATGACTAATGTCAGTCATCTGACTGTCATCTTGTGCCTCCAAAAATGAAGAATTCTCGTCATACACCTTTTCTTGCATCAATTTCTTCCTATTTTCCAGGTCTTCTTCCAGGCGCATTTTCATAGCAATTGCAGCTTTCTCTTTCTCAAGTCTCGCTTTCTCGAGAAGCTTTTCTTTATCCTGTTAAAAGAAGCCACAAATATATATGCAAGGCATATGTTTGGATTGTGATAAAAAAATGCACAACAGTTTTTAAAGTGGCTTCTAAAGTGAAAGGCAAAGAACCAATCAGTCACTGTCTTACTCCAATCACAACATCACAACGTATTTTTTGTTCATAAACATATTTATAGTTGTGGTGGTCCTATAATGTGATGTTTGTACATTTCATTTAGTTTTCTCCGTAGGGAAATATGTCTATGATGCTAAACTGTGGTGTCATATAAAGTAAAACTGTGCATTGATCTTTGAGCCTGTAAAGAATAAAGTAAAACTGTGCAAAGACTTTGAACGAAATAGTTCGCATGCCAGGGGCGGATCTAGGGGTCGTCAAATCAGTCGCGCGACTGAAGTAAAAATTGCCTACTTAAAAAAAATTTGACTCCAGCTATCTATAGTGGCCAGTAGATCGAGTTACTAAAATTTTGAATCGGTACCGGTAGTCCAGTTATACGTTTCATGCTGCAGCAGAGCTTCGGCAAAGTAATGTTAGTCAGTCACGAACAGCGGTCTTACGCATGAAAGTTGACGGATTCGGGGGTTAAATCCAGCTATCTGATTGGCTGACACGCTCTTTTCCATGGTTACGGCGATTTGCGACGGATCTGTGGGGAGGCCTGACGGATTTGCAGATTCAGGGGCTCTGTATGAGCCTTCTGATTGAACCATTTAAAAAAATTCTGCACTCTCATTGGCTTATATTTTCGACGGATTCGCAGCGTGAGGTATTCGTCAACACGGCATCAGTGTTTACCTCTGAGTGTTTACTATTTCGAACGTTTACTATTACGAGCGATTTCTACCAGCGATATCTGGAAACATTTCGACAATGTTCAGTTTGCGATTGCGGCAAACGATTTGAAATCTCTACACAACGTTTGTATGTGGAGGCTACGGAGCTTGAAAAGAATATCGATGCCTCACGGACGAATTTTGTTGACGAGCTACTGAGCGGCGCCATCAACAATACAAGCCGAAGCCTCGCTAGAAATTTTGGCGCAGAGAGCCACTGCTAGAGAAAGACAAAGCTTGCACTGCAATAAGGTAGATAAATTTATGGTTTTATAGTGATGTATCTTTAGTTCATATTAAAGGTTTATAAACCAGAGTACCAAGCCATCGGTGTTGTTAATGATTGTCTGACATATGATATTTTAATATATTCGCTATGCTGTATTAGCATAATTCTCGCGTGAAGAAGCTAAAATATGTTAATGTTCAATGTCTACATTGTAAGCATTTGTTAATTCTCATGTTAGTGAAGTTTTATTTAAAATTTATTTATATTTATGCATTAATCACACAACATGTACGCCTTAAGAGTATTGTTTATCCATAGCCTATCGACATGGCTTGTTTAATAGACCGCATTGGTCTGGTGTAACATGATGATGTGATTAGGTGGCTTGAAAAGCTCTTTGACTGGTAGCCGTTCTGATGTTACTAGTTTATTAATAGTATATTTTGTGTTCAATATATAGACCACAGTAAGACTTTATTAATAGTAAGAGTTTAGTTTATTAATATTTGACTTAACATCTTTAACTCAGTTAATGAATATGTGGTTGTTTTGTAGAGCTACTGGCAATTACTTGTATAGTTCTGTGTTTTTGGTAACAGAATAGTATATTTCCTTAATGCATTTGCTGCCATATGATTTTAGACGTTTTACAATGATATACTTATAAGTGTATAGTACCAATACGACGACGATTCATTAATCCACAGGCAAACATATTAAATTGCTGCTGAGTTTTAAAGTACTATATAATTGTAACATATCTATAAAATTTTGTATTGAAATAGGATCAATATATTTTGTGCATTTGTAGTTTTTCTTACAGTGGATAAGAATCGAATGTTCGTTTGAGTTTATCAATTTAATCTAAATATGTTTTATAATTTGGTTAATTAGGATTTAGGTTAATACGTGGAGGGGGGGGGGGGATTCTCATTTTACGTACGGAAAATTCTAAAAATCCAGTGGCGGACTACCAGCATAAAAATTATTTAGCGCCCACTCCCCCGCCTGGAGTCGACCACGCCCAGTCGAGACCACGCCCAGCGTCGATAACGCCCCGTCCGCCAAAAATTTTTTGACTGAGGTACGAAAAATCCTAGATCCGCCCCTGATGCCAATATATGCAATACATAATTAACATACAACTGCAGTGGCCCAGGATCTCTCTTCCTGCATTTCAGGAAGTTCTTGCCAGCTATAGCGATCAAATCGAAAACATTCTACAGACTTTAAGTGTGTTTCATCATGGCCTCCCATGACAATCACAGTGTCTCTGACAACTGCAGCCACACATTCTCTCCTCTTATACTTCATGTCTGGTAACATAAGACTCTTCTGGGTCTTCATGTTGTATAATAAAACTTTGTTTAATAGTTGAGCGTTACTGTCAACACCACCCGCTATGATCACACTGTCATCACCCCACTTGACTGTGGCCATTGCAGACACGGGGTAGGGGAGGGCTGCTGACTCCTTACATTTATTCTTAGTAATATCATACAACAAAACACTTGCAAGATTTGTACTGGAAGAATGATTGTGCTTGCCTCCAAGAATCAGTATTTTGTCACCAAACATTGCAACACCATGAAGATATCTTGCCTGTGGCATGGTAGCCAACAGTTTACTGGTATAAGGTGGGACAAGGGAAATCTCAGTAATACGATCAGAATATGCACATTTACTACCATCAAAACCTCCAATCACTATCAACCGTCCATTATAAACTACACTGCACTGTCCATTCAATGGTGCAGGTAACTCAGCCAGAACGTTTGAATCCCAAGTTATGGACTGATCAACTTGAACAGCATTCAGTGATAGTTTTTCAATTGACTTGATTCCTCCACTGTTACCCGCACCTCCCATGACAAAAATTTGATTGTTGTGAACAACTGAAGATGCTCTGTTACGACCTTCTTTCATTGGCTTTAGTGGTGTCCAAGTTGCGTTTAAGAGACTGAACATTTCCACTGAATTTAGATTTCCTCTCCCACTCCAGCCTCCAGCAATAAGGACCTTCGGCTCTCTATCCATTCCACCTTCCGCGATATCTTTCTTCATTTCTTCAGTCTGAACTTCATGCGATGTTTGTTGCGTCATTCTTTCGAGTTGTTTCATAATTTCATTTAAACTTCTCTTCATTTCTACATTGTCCGCTTGGAGCTGACGATTGCTTTCTTCCTGCTTGTTAAGTTGTTCTTGAACCAGTTCAACTTTTGTGACCACATTTCCAAACTCTGTTTTAACATTCTCCTGATTTTTGTGCGTCTGTTCCTTATTTCTGTCCAACTGATCCCCAACTCCTTTCAACTTTTCATTCATTGCTGCCAAATTAACTTTCACTGTATCCATCTCTTGTTTGATTTCGTTGCAATTGTGGCACTTGACTTTGCGTAGTTCACACACAGCTGTTTCATGGTGTAGTAAATCTTGTTTATTCACCTCAAGTTGGCATCCTTCGTTAGAGCAGACTGCTGGGGCAAACCCACAGTCAGTGACATGCCTTTCGAGATCTCCTAATTCAACAAACTGTCTGCAACCACGATTGAAGAATTGACAGCGGATCTTTAATTCGGAAAGTAAGTTCGTTGCGGTCCGAGGTGCTTGGCGCAGTGATTCGACAGTGAGTGGTTCCATACACGATGGACATGTTTGAAAGTTCATGAGATGTATGGTGATACAAGCTTGACAGAACAAATGCTCATTATGTCGACACGAAACTGGATCCTTCAAAACATTCAGACATATACCACAATGCAACGTGTGGCCAACGGGATGTTGAAATAGTTCATCTTCCCAACCAGTGTCGTATGACGCCATTTTCAGTTTAGATCGCTGTTGAATCAATATCTTGAGAAATATACATAAGAGAAAAGATGTTAGATGTCGTTTTAAACTGAAGACGAAACGCTTATAAATTCTTATATTATTGACCGAGACAGCATTGTGTATAGCCGTTTTGCATTCAACAAATACGAGTTTAAAGCAAGCATAAAAAGACATGACAGACATCTATTCTGTGAATTACTTTCTTCATTAAAAATTAAAATGCCCACAAAATGACATCTAATTCTCGCGAAACTTCTATTGACTATTTCTTTTCTGGTTTCTTCAGAAATTTCTTGTGTTTATAGCCGACTTTGAATCGGCGCTGTGTTTCGATATGCTTATGTAAACTCACTTGAATATATTTCATTTCGTCTTACCTTGGCTTTACTTCATTCAGGAACTACATTTTGTCGTGTAGTTTATTTACATCGCTATAATGTTTAAAACACTGTGCTTGATTTCATCAAAACAATGAACAGTAGTTTGAGAGCGCAGTCAAAATCCTTCGAGATAAATCATCTGTTTAGTTTCAGTTTGAGCAGAATATACACCCATAAATTCCTGAATATCCAATTACATTGAAATTGCGACAGTCACGCATTGCACAAATCTTGTGATTAAAGTTCATGACCTCATAATTTCTTGATGCTGGAAAATCCGTCAACAAACCAGTTGTTGGTCCAACAATGTTGGCGATGATCGGATGATGAATGAAAATTTTGAATAAAGTCAAAATCCGATCCAGACATTGTTCAACCTCAGCCAACATTACGAAACACATGGTCTTGAAACAGACCCAACAATACTAAAGAACTGTAGCCTTACTATAAACTCACTTGCTTGCATACGGCGCTGAATTTGTACGCAAAAAGTTCACCAAGTATAAATTCGGCATTAAAATCTCGAAAAGCTACCAAGATTTCTTGAAACAGCCATTATATTCTTCTCTAATTTAAACAAATTTTAAATTCAAGAAAAAACAATTAATTAAAAACAATGTGACAATTAACTGAAGAAGAGGGCCTGATTTTCTCTCTACGACAAGCTTTATTGCATTTTAGCTATGCGCATCCTCATAAGAAAGGCTCCCAGCTTGCTTCACTGACCTTCGCGATATTTATGGCGGGGGTGGTGGGGGGTTACACCAAGGAGAAAAGGGTTGGGTAACAAAATTTTGAGTGAGTAAAAGGTTGGGTAAATGCATGAAAAACAAAACAACTCAAGGGTACCGCGAAGTCATTTCCAAAGCGCAACTCACTCAAATATTGAAGACCAAAAGCAATGTCAACAGTCGTATGTCAATACAAACTATACAATATGTAAATCAATCAGTCAAAGTCGCTACTGATCTTGATCATTTTCCAATTTCCAAAGAAAGTACATGTGCATACAGCTATTTCAATTAATGTTGTCCACGAGCAAAGCGGAAAAGTCGAATACGAGCGCGAAAGGCTGCTGGGAATCGCTAACAAATTAATTAATTTTCAAAGCGGTCTCCAGCAGCCTTACGCGCTCGTATTCGACCGCTTTGCTCGTGGACAACCTTAATTGAAATAGCTGTATGCATATACGAGATACGACATCATGTCTATCGACATGAAACTTCAGATTGCACAAGCAGTTATCAAACTCATGTCACAGAAGGACATGTACGACAACTGAATGGTATCTTTTTGTATGGTGTTACAGAAAGACACGCAGGGCCCAGGATAACGGCCAATCAACGGACAATGACCAGCCAAAAATGCCTCTTGAACGATCACTTTGTTAACGAACGATATTATTATATGAAGTACTTGTTATCATGACCGCTGAAATAGTCGCGCGGGCGACAAAACGTTTTTTGAACGTTCTAGTTTATATTTTTCGACTACAAAAAGTGTGACGATATTTAGGCTATTTTTGTGTTTAAAGACTCGGAATAAAGTGGCGAATTATCTCGTGTAGACATTTTATAGACAGTTCAATTAATCGGGAACAAGTTTGGTCCTTCGACAGCCGGATCTGCTGACGAAATAACGAGAAATTCGCGACTTTTGTTGTGAATGTGCGAGCAAATATGGCGCTTAGTACGAGTGGACAACAACAAGACTTGCTGGGAGAAGAGACAGACCAAGGTGTTGAAGCTGTAAACAGTATTCAAAACGTTCATCTCGCCGACCACGAAAGTAAAAAAGAAGAAAATACATTGAATATAGAAAGCAAACAAGTGAGTACCAAGATTCAAATTTTACGAAGTAGTAAAAAATCGGCTAAAACCAGGCTGACAAAAGCTAAGAAACAATTGAACGACCTAATCGAGAAACAACTTCCTGGTGTACCATTGCCGAGTAAAAATGCCATAAGAAGAGCTATTAATAAAGTTAATTCCGAGATCAGTATTATTGAAAAAATTATTTCTGGCTTAAAAGAGATTTATGCTGTGAGTGCTGAAAATGAGGAGACCAACACAGTTATCGAGACTTTAGACAAAGAACTTGAAGACATCGGGTCTTCAGTCGATTCCATAATTGTAATGGCTGAACAACATCTCGAGGAAAGACTTGGCAATGGAGAAACTGACTCAGTGTTAACTTCACTTCGATCACAAGAAACTAGTCCCCAGTCTCCAGTTATGTCGAAAAAATCCTCAAATGTGGAACAGAAACAAAAAGAGGCAAAGGAGGCTAGTGAAAGGCTAATCCAAATGGAAAACGAACAGCGAGTAAAGGAGCTAGAGATCCAAAAGCTGACCGCTGAGCTGCAGCTGACAAAACAGCGAACCGATGATGCAAGGAAAGTTGCTGCTCTCAACAAATTCCGGGCTGAAGAAGCCGAACGAAGATCGCAAGTATCGGATAATGATACAGTACAGAACTTCCTTATTAACCGTCACTTAGAAAAATATTCAGAGCTACCCAATGAAAACAAAGAACAAAGACAGACATTTTCTCCCATTAGACTTAAAGGAGTGGATCTCCCTATCGTCTCTGGCGAAGAAAAAAGTGACTATGAATCCTGGAAGGCAGCATTCCTGTCTGTTGTCGATCGTCGTGATATTCCTGTCGGAGAAAAAATGCTTAGACTACAAGGCTGTTTGTCGGGTAAAGCTTTAACGATGGTGAAAGATCTTGGGTATTCCCTTAGTGCGTATGAAAGAGCGAAGGCTAAATTGGAGAAGAAGTACGGAGGGGAGAGACGTTTACAGATAAAACACCTAACAGCTTTGCGCAATTTCCGGAAAGTTCGTCCTCGAAATCTGGAAGATATGCAAGAGTTTCAAGTTCTATTAGAAAGAGTATTGATCGCCACTCAGGACTCAGGACCATTGCATGGACAGAGCTTGAATTTGACAGCTAAGGAGAAACTACCAGAAGAAGATGTGCAAGCTTACAAATATTGGCTGATGGACCACTCGCGTGAAGACAATTTTGAAGCACTTGAAGAATGGGTTGAAGTACGAGTGCAAGTTATGGAAGAGGCGAAAGAAGAAACGAATGGCATTGGAAAAAAGACGGACAACCGTGTTGAACAGAAGAAACGCTTTCGAAGCTTCAATACTAGATTCACCACGCGATGTTGTATTGTTCCAAACTGTAAAGAGGATCACCCCCCGTGGGTTTGTAAAGCTTTCAAAGATCTACCCGTCCTAAAGAGAAAAGAATTAATTACTAAGGCTGGACGCTGTTATTGTTGTCTGGCTGCTGGACATCGAAGCAAAGATTGCACCAAAAGGAGACAATGTGGTGTTGATGGGTGCCTGAGTAAAGGCCACAGCAGTTACCTTCATGTAAGCCCTCCAAAACACAAGGACGACGTGGGAGGACACTTACGACCTGATGCACCGACATACGTTTCCCCAGGACAATCGAACCAAAATAGAGAGGCTCCTCGTAATGATAAGACACGTGATGACAATCTGCCACCAACCAATTTCCAGCCCCAAGAAAGAACACATAATACAACTAAAGTAGAGAACGTCTCTTTAATGGTAATACCTGCCCTGATTAGTAATGGAAACAGAGAGTTAAAGGTCAATGTAATGCTTGACCCCTGTTCGACCAGTTCCTATGTATCAGAGGAAGCAGCAGAAGAGCTTGAGTTGCATGGACAAAACGTAAACCTTACGATTGCAGGAACAGGGGGCATCGAGATCCAGAAAAGATCCCGCCGAGTGGAACTAAATGTGACTAGTCTAGATAGGTCATTTACGACACCTGTCCAAGCACATGTGTTAGATAACATTGCGAGTGACACACCAGCCATACAGTGGTCAGAACTCAAGGAAAAGTGGCCTCACCTGCAGAAGATCCCTTTCGACAATGTTTCCAGGCGACAGCAGATTGATGTCATGCTTGGCAGCGATAATCCAGTATTCCACTACGTATTAGAAGAGATTCGCGGCAGCCAACCAAGTGATCCCGTAGCACGCCTAACGAACTTGGGCTGGGTTTGTTTCGGGCCAACGTTGGTCAACGAGTTTCGGCGAAACTCTCGTTCCCACTTCACACGCACGTACCGTACCTGCCATGTCGACCAGCAACCACCACCGGACGACATTCTACGCAAGTTCTGGGAGCTTGAGGCACTCGGAATCAAAGAAACGTCTGAGAAACAGGCTATGACAGCCGACGAAAGAGCAGCAACTGCAACTGTAGCTGGATCCCTAAAGTTTGAGAATGGTTTGTACGAGGTAGGAATCCCTTGGAAGGACGGAGAGCCGAAGTTGACTAACAATTACGAAGCGGCGTTATTAAGACTCCAAAGTCAAGAGAAATCCCTCAGAAAGAAAGATCCTAGCATCCTGGAAGCCTACAGTAAAGTATTCAAGGACTATGAGAAAAAAGGCTACATTCAGAAAGTACCCAAGTCCGAAGTAGAACAGCAGTGGTTCCTCCCACATTTTCCGGTCATTAAGCCAAGCAAAGATACGACTAAAGTTCGTGTTGTCTTCGACGCGGCAATGAAGCATGACGGAAAGAGCTTAAACGACAGCATACGGCCAGGTCCGA